GTGCATGTATGTTGAATGCATCTATCGGAGCAGTTTCCTTATAAATGTTAAAAATAATGCTTTTGATGCGCATTTTGGGGTAGGTATCTTAAATGTGCACTTAAGCATAGAGGCAGCAAAGCAAAATATACTGTATACGTATTGGCACAGCAAATTTTTCACAATATACGCAAGACTTTTTATTCTAATATTTTTCCGCCAATTATACAACAAAAAATATAAAAATATAATTCCTAAACTTTGTGCGCGAAAATTCAGCAAATTTTCATGCAAATTTTCCACTTTTTAATCAGATTTTTTAGATTTTTTTGAATATGCAGTTCTGCAGTTCATTAAATTCTAGTAAAACAAGTAAGAAAGTCTAAGTTCGGGCGGAGCCGAACATTAAATACCCGGCGCAAGTATTAAATATATGTTTCTTCACCTTTCCGAAAGCTACCCCTAGATGGTAAGCCGGGGTGTATCAATTTTGAGTGAATTAGCGTCCTTCAATTTCGAAATATTGAAATTTCAAGCATTTCTGAAATTTACCGTTATATGAAAAGCGGCCGTAATTTTAGTCCGATTTCAATAATTTTCAACGCTTTCATGTGGCAAGCACAATAACCACACCGAGTTTGGTACAAATTGGTAGAACGGTTACCGATATACATATATGTGATCATAAGTGGGCGGGTGGTAAAGAATTTTTGCAAGCATCAATTTTGAATAAATTAGCTTCAATATTTACTGATTTATCGAAGATTTTGTATTTCTCTAAATTACCGTTATATGGGATGTGGGCGTGGTTATTGTCCGAATTAAAAGATTTTCGGCCATTTGGTATGGTGTACCAAGGCCAACAACTGTGTCAAGTTTGGAAGAAATTGGTGCAGCGGTTCCTAAGATATACACATGTAACCATAAGTGGACGTGGCTACGCCCATTTTCCAAAAATGTATAATATTCTTATTTTTCGTCTAAAAATTATTGTAAATATCAATTTTGAGTGAATTATCTTCAGTAGTTACTAAAATATCGCAGTTTTCGTATTTCTGGAAATTACCGTTATATGGGAAGTGGGCGTGGTTAAAGTCCGATTTCTCCCATTTTCAATACCAACCTACCTTGGATTAAGGGAAACCTACATACCAAATTTCGTTGAGATATCTCAATTTTTGATCGAGTTATCGTGTACACGGACGGACGGACAGACGGACGGACAGACAGACATGGCTTAATCGATTTCTTTTTTCATCCTGATCATTTATGCATACATTTGTCAATATCTATCTCGATTCGTTTTGGCTGTTACAAACAACCGTTATGTGAACAAAATTAATATACCCTTGTGCACAAGTGCGCTCGGGTATAAAAATGCAAGTGCGGCGTTAGTCACAAATTGCATTGATTTTTGAGAATTTTATTTATTTTTTTTAAGGTATTTAGCATTTTTTCGATATAAAGTATTTTCGAAAAAGATTTTTTGTATGAAAGAGACTGCGTGAAAAAAATTGCCAAAACTCAACGGTAATTCCTACCTACTTTAAGCTTGTACTTTATTCTAATAAAATTGATTGGGCTACAAATCTGCATACTCGAAAAAATTCTAAAAAATCTGATTAAAAAGTTGAAAATTTGCAGATTTTCCGCGAGTTTTTCACAAAGTTTAGGAGTTATATTTTTATGTTTTTAGTTGCAGAATTAACCATATTTAAAAAAAAATTAGAATAAAATTGTTTGCATATATTGTGAAAAATTTGTTGTGTCAATACTTTGTACCGGCAGTGTATATATTTTTATTTAATTTAATTTTTTAGAAAACTTATTGCTAGCAGATCTTTCAATTAGTTTTTGGACTCTCTAAAACCGGTAATGAACTGAACATCGGTTGTTAGTCAATTCGGTTCAGTCCAATTTTTAGGGGTGTTTAGCAAAAAACACATTTCGATTGTTGACAAGGCGTACAAAAAAATAACATAACTTTTTCGCAGTGTCGCACATTGTTATTGCAATTGAGATTTGTATCTAATCAAAAATTGTGCATTCAAAATATTTTATATTTAGCGTTTACTTCATCGCTTAAAAAAACACACTAAATTTTGATATTTGAAAAAAAAAAGAAATCGCAAAGGAAGTGCGACAGCAGAGAGCACAAGTTAATGAAGCTAAAAAAAAAAATAGAAAATTATCAACAAATATTGAGATCAAAGTGTATCTATCGAAACGCAGACTATTCAATTTCATTCAGCACGATTTAATAAATAAATACTAAAACAAAATGATCTGTTCTTTAATGTAGCGCAACTGTACATACGAGTACATATGTATTACGTATGTATGTTTGTCTTGACACTTTCAAAAAACCAAAAAAAAACCAAAAACGCACTCACAGCCCGACGTCAACAGACCATTGCACATGCCCTGCTGCCTCTCTTGGGTGCCAACACCGGCTTCAATAAACAGTCGCAGAAGCTTCTGCTGCGTCTTTTTATATTGTCGCTTATGTCGCCAATACACGCTGTTAGTTATCTTTGTGGCGAAGATTATTTAACAAGAAATAAAAAATACATAATACAATAAAACGAAAGATGGATGGACAAGAAAGAAGGGAAATGGAGAAATTGAGAAATAAAAAAAAACAATGCAGTAAGTAGCGAATAAAATGAAAGTGATAAACGGAGATTTGTGCAGCCAAAGCATGCGATCTCCCATCCAACTGGAAGTAATCGTATAAGAAGGAAATCTACATAAAATACGGAGAGCGTACCGGAAAGGCATCGCACAGTGGAAGATTTCCATGTAAATTATTACAAAAACTAGTAATCGTGCCCCGATGTTGCTACAATTTTTTATTGGTAAAATTTTAGCTTAGAGATGATGAAATCTTAAAAATTGGCACTGATCGAAAAACTGCCACGCCCACTTCACAAGGGGCGCAAATGGTAAATGCGATTCGACTTTAATGAAATTCGGTTCGTAACTTAGTTTTAACCATAAAAATCTAAATCTGATAGATGGCCAAAATCGGTCCACTGCCACTCGCACCAGCCATATAAAAATTAAATTTTATAAAACTGCATAACATCTTACATCTTTTTCTAATATAGTAGGTATGGAGATACCAGAATATTTCATTTACTTTATCAATTTAATAGAATAAATTTTTTCAAACAGGTGGCAACCCTCCTCAAAAACATTTTTTGTAGTAAACTTTCCTAAACCTCTTCAGTTTGATACCAATATTGTAATATTCAAATTTTTGTATGAATTAAGTTGAAATTTTCAAACAGGTGGCAACTCTGTAATTTTTTTCTTTCTACATATATTTTAAGTTAGATCTCTAGAAATACATAGGCGAAAACTGCATTCAATTCGATGCATTAGTTCTTGCGTATAAACATACAAATAGACTGACAGACAGGCAGACCGATAGACAGACAGACAGACAAATTGTCGATTTGCCTTCTATTGCTCTAATAAAGACCTCCCAATTTGAAAATTTGAAATTTTAATAAGATAAATTTTACAAAAGTTATTATTTTTTTTACTTTTTATGAAAGTTTTGGGAACACAGTTTTTAAATCGTTAAGTTTTAGTAAAATAAAATGCAAGTTGGAAGTGGGTAAGAGTTCGCACTGATTTTTATTAACTAAAAATTAATTTAGATGTTGATGAAATTTTTTTTAAATACCTCACATATTTTTGTGGATTTTTTTTCGTTTTGAGGGAACCCTACAATTCTTTTCGACTAGTTTTAATTATATAACATTTATTAACTGGAACCGTAGTATCGATTTTCTTAAAAAATGCAACTTTTTCCGCACTTTGTAGTAAAAAATTTAATCCAAGGAAATTAAAATTCCAAAATCTGGCTCATCGGGTCTCTTGCAAACTTTATAAGCTATCATTTCGAGTAAAACAAGTTTAGTGAACAATGAAGGCTCCAGTGTATCGTGAATAGTAAATGCTACTTTTGAACCAGTGTGAGCTGGTAGTTCCCGCTAGATTTACAATAGCAATACCAATTATTAAAAAAGAATTAACAACATGATCAAAAAAGTACATACGGCGCTCAAAAGCATCAGATATTGATATGGGAACATAACTAAAATCTCATTTGGATCTATTGGACCCGGCCGGTAGACAAAGGGTTAAAGGCAAAACAAATCCAACAACAACCGATGACTCAACTTCCACTGCCGAGTCCTTGAAATGTTCACTCGAATTTTCGTGTAGAAATACGATATATACAACACGAAGATGCAGTGCCATTTCTTTCAGAAAACAAACCTCAAAACGTTTTAGGAGACATATCTAGAATTTACTCAACCATTGAATTTTTAGTGTTGAACTTTCTGCCATCCTCACACCACTGTGCATCGTGACCGCAAGTATGTATGTACATAAAAAAGACCGCGAAAACAAATTCGACATTGATCACAAAGACACCGTGCTATGGGGTTTTCATGTTCACTAGGATATGCAAAAAAGTATGCACACATACATATGTATGTATTTTCGAAGAAATATGTATATAACTATCCACTAGACCAAGGCATCCGAATTTGTCGGAAATCAGACATTTCTGAACAAAGTCGAAGGTCTTTCGTTCTGGCTTAACGAATTCGCAGCAGTTTCGTAAAGATCCTACCTGACGAAATCGTTAAGTTCTTTCTTTACGAAGTCGTGTCAACCTTCTCATATGAAACTCTTGCCGATTTCGTAAAGAGATCGGTTAGAATTTCGGAAAAATCTTTAGACGCGACATAACGATGTCGGTAAAAAATCGAAACAAATTGTTTGGTGGGTGGTATATTTGGTCGCATATGTATGTATGTAACTACATAAGTAACTGATAACTGTATCATGACTTCGACACTCGAAGTTAATACATACCTGCATACATACATATATGCAAGCAGCTTGGAATACATAATTTTACATAAATTCTGCGATCGTTTGAATTTCGACATTGGAAATACTTATATATTTATTTATATAAATAAATTCGAACTTACCGATAATAAAAAACGAAGTGTTCTTACAAAAAATATTTTGTTCTAAAAAATTTCACAAACACAAACACAATTAAAATTATCGCAAATGCACTGATCTCCTTTTTTAGCTTACTGGCTCAGTTCGTTCGTCGAAGAGTTTATTTTCTTCAACTAGTTATTGCATTTATATATCACTTTGGTTTCTTTTTTTTTTTGATTTTCGTTTATTGATATCCGTTTTGGATTTGCCTACTCTCAAGCACCTGACCAGTAACGCGTTTCAGCAACTTGTGCAACCGTACAATCCGCGACTGAATGTTGATGATCAGCGAAAAGCATTCGTTGTTCTGTTGGTCAGATCAAATGCAGATTGAAATCTGCCTTTCCCTGGTTCGGCATTGACATCGGCTTCGAAAATAATAACAACATCAGCATCGGTTTAACCATCGGCTGTGTTTCTCTTCGATGCATTATCAGCGGTGATATCAATTAATGCGCAGAATTGAGCTGAGAATTTAGCTTCGATCTCTGCAACCTGCGACTCCAAATTGTATTTGTAATGGAGTTTTGCTTGACACCTTTCAATGATGGACGAATAATAATAATAATTTTAGGCGACCGCTATTGTGAAACAAAAAACTTGTTTATGTTTCTGGTACCAGAAATCGAACTTTAGACCAACCACGTGGCAGTACGCTCCTCTCTATAAGCTGCGGCCAAACGTAGTAACCGTACTATAAATGCTATTGGATAAAATTCAGGGTATACATATGCTGAATTTAACCAGAAAAGTATACATCTGAAAGTACGTCAAAATGGTGTAATATTTTCGATGAAAGCCTAGTTTTGAAATTTGTACGACAAATTTGAAAGAAAAAACTAAAAAAAAATCACCTAGCCAATCAAAAGCGATAATTACGGTTCTAAAGTCGAAGTACAAAATGATAATTTAAGATTTCAGCTGTATCGACCAGAAAATGAGGAAATTAGTGTTGCAAATTATCAAGTACTTTTGAGGATCGAGTTCTTTGGTACCGATACTTTTAAAGAACGGGTATTTTTGGGACTTTCTTTAAAAACACGCATGTTGGTAACATTTCAATGCTTAGTTAGTCTAGAAATCTCACAAGCTGACAGCACTTTATTCAAATTAATATATTAATCCCGAATTCCATCAAATGAATGGCTAAATGTACTGGGTGCAAGTATTTACTTGAAATTATTGGAACTTGTAATTGAGTACAATCATTTCGGAATATCGGTAAATGTCAATAGAACTCAATACTTCTAAATATCTATTCGACACTTAATACTGCGTGTTTTGAATCGCTCCTGAGTGCAAGTATCGAAGTGATGATCGGAACAGAGTACTTTCGAGTACTAAATACTTTCGAGTTCTGAGTGCTTTCGAGTGATTTGGTGAGTACTGAGTACTTTGGACTACTCAGTATCGATACTTTTTAAAATCGGGTGCTGTTGATGATTTTGAGAATCAAGTACTGAGTACTTTTTGTATCGATACTGCCAGACACTAGAGAAAATGCTTTTTTGCTTTTGGAATAAAAAAAAAATCGAAATTAGTTTAGAAATATTTTCTATACGGCAAAGCCCACTGAACCACACACTTTGGAAATCCCATAAACGGGATGTTATTTTTTTCTGCAAATTCATTCACTCTCCGATAACCTTACCAATCATTTTTAAGAAACGTTTAATAGCACAACTGTCGGTAAGTTGTAACTCCTATTAAATGATTACTCCGCGTGAGTCAGTGAAATAAGGTTTTTTTTCACGAAAAGTCCGTTTTTCGACAGACAATGGACGCCGACGGGAAAAATCACCACCGAACAGTAACTTTTTGTGGATTCATTGATACCTGGTGAGCCTGATTTGGGGTGTCGTCGTCAAACTTTTTTCAGAATCGCTTATACATAACTGAAGAAAGCTTCCTCTCTAGACCATGGCTATCTGCAGTTCTACAAAAAAATTTAAACAAACATTTCTCATTATTTCTGTTGCTTGAAAAAGTACTCTGCTGTTGCTGTAAATTTTCTTGAATAAACAAATACAGGTTGTACATCGATACCTGTGTGGATGATCGACCTATTCGGCAGCCAGTTCGAAAACGCTCTATCTCAGAAACCTTTTCCAGAACGCCTTACTTCAGAATTTGATTGAAGAACGCCCCATTGCACAATTTTATTGAAAACACCCTATCTCAGCATTCGGTTCAAAAACGCCCTATCTTAGAATTCGGTTCGAAAACGCCCTACCTCAGCTGAAAATACATTGAAAATGTGCTGAGATAGGGTGTATTTGAGCTGAGATAGAGCGTTCTTCAACCAAATTCCGAGATAGGGTGTTTTGGAATAAAATTGCGAAATAGGGCGTTCTTCAATCAAATTCTGAGGTACGGCGTTCTTGAAAAGTTTTCTGAGATAGGGCGTTTTCGAACTGGTACCGATATATAATAATTTTTTTCTTGGCAGCTACATACTGATTGAAGAAATTTTGATAGGAGAAAATCTCTTCAAATTCCTCGTTTTTAAATTTTGAGAAAAACTTAACAATCTTTATTTACATTCTTTGGAAAAATATATAGATACCAAATTCTTATTCAGCAACCAAAAATTAGTCTAGAAACCGTCGTAAAGTAGAATTTTGTCAATGTGACAAATAAAATGCTAGACTTTTCTTTCTGGGGTGGAAAGGTAGCTTTCTGTAGGTATGCTAGAGCGGTTTTTAGAAATAGGCGTAATTTTACTCCACCGTGTTTGGCCGATTCTTAGCCGATTCTTTTTACTTTTCCAGCAGTTCATCAAAATTTGCAACTGTTTTATAAGATTTTTAAGAATTTTTTTGAGTAAGCAGTTTTTTAAATTTTAGTATAATAAAGTACAAATTTGAAGTAGTAGCTAGGTAAGTTTTGATTTTTGAAAATCTTTTGTTCACGTATTTTCTTCCAAACAAAGTATGTTCGAATTTTTTTTTTTGTATGGAGAAAATCCGCAACACCCTCCACAAAAAAAAATTGCCAAAAATTAACGGTAAATCCTAGCTGCTCAAAACTTGCACTTTATTAAACTGAATTTTGATTGGCTCGCAAACTGTGTGCTCTAATTCTAAAATTTTTTTATAAATGTTCTATAAAGTTTGAAATTTTGATTTACATGGTTTTTATTCAGATAGTAAGCAGTATTTTCATAAAAAAAGAATAAAAAATTTTTTTAACAAAGAAAAGTAGGCAAAGCTTGCTAAAATGTCAATTCCCTATTTACATTCTCGCCTCCGTATATATCTACATACACCTGTCCCAATTGCCAAACGCTTTACACATCCGACCGTCACTTATTCGCTCGTCCTTTAAAGGGTAAAACAAATAATTTCGGACCAAACGCAATGGGAAATTGGTAAATGGATTATGTTTAAAATGTTTAAATCTGCGCTCAATCTTCTACTTAAACCAATGCATTCATTCACTCTTTGCCTATTTTCCTTTGCCCGAAAAACCCAACGAAGGAGTCATCCATTGATTGAGTATAATTATATTTTGTCTTATTACGATAGCTTGGATTTAGTTAGTCGCAGTAAATTTGCAATCAGTTATAAAATATTATAGAAATATATTAAAGCAATGCTTCCTTGGAAAAAAAATTTACTCAGTTTGTGTTAGCCCAAGCGACTCACAGTCCAGTCAATTTGTATATTAAAATTTGTTTAAGCCTTATATTCAATTGACTTAGTTATATGTAGTAGTAAAAATTATAAAAAAATATTTTTAACATAAATTAAAATACCATCCTCTATCAGCATCCCATATGAAACAATGGCTGATAATGGGTAAACACACAATTGTTTTGTATTTGTTTATTTACCAACCACCCATAAATATTCTCTCTAAATATAAATTGTTTTTTTTTTGTATGTAAACAATTGTATACATGTGTTTGATACGTTATCAACAAAACCATGCCAATAAATTGAGAACGAACAAATGTTGCTCATTCATTGTTGTCCGAAAAACTTTAAGCGCCACCGCAAATTGTCTGCCGGTAGCAAATGAATCGCAATACACCAAGAAATTCTCTATGGACGAAAATAAATCGTCGAAAAAATTGGGATTTCATTCTTACAAAGAGTGGAGCGTTTTCGTGCGCTGAATTTAATTTATTTCTTAGCAATAACTGTCAATACATATCATGCAATCTGTGCACAAAATCACATGTTTTTATTTTCCGAGAGCAATTGAGACCGAATGCAAAGCTTGCGTAGTAAAGAATTGAGAGTGCCATTTGGTGTGCTTGGGTAGGAGTGAGTGTCAGCATGGTTGCCACAATTGGTAATTTTCTACCAAAATTGATAACTTTTAAACTGTTTGGTAACTTGGTAACTTTTATTTAATTTTGGTAACTTTTGCAACCAAATATCTATTTGCATTTATAGAAAGAAATGATTTATGTTTTGCATGTGTGTAATTATAAAAAGACTTCGAGTTTCATTAAAGAGGCAGCACTTCGAAAAAAAAACTACCAAATTTTCGAAATACATGTGGGTAGGTAGGTGGGTCTGGTTAAAAGCACCCACCAAATTTTTTTTGGTGCCGGTGCTAATATTCCGTGAGTCACAGGTTCAAATATCGGTAAATGCAGCAATTAGTTGATAGAAAAATATTTTCTTAAAAAAAAAACCAATTATTATAAATGTCAATAGCATAATTTATCAATAAAATGGCTTTACACTTCAATGCTAAAATCCCAATGCTTGATAAATAATCCAAAATTGATAAATGTTGAATTTATTAAGTACAAAGAGTCGGGTTGTAAGTATTTATATACACTTTTGTTGTGAAATGTAGCAGTTAAATTCTTTTTCTCAGTGAAAAATAATTTTGGTAACTTTTAGTAACTTTTCTTAAGAGATTTGGTAGAGAAAAATGTTGCCGAGTGGCAACCATGAGTGTGAGAAGCATGTCCTCACATATGTACATAAATACATACTATGTATAAGTATACCAGTATGCATGTATGTCTGTTTGTGTTTGAGGAAAAAGCTTAGTCAATCAGCTGTTTTTAAAGCATATTCGTTTGAATACTTCTATACATGCATGTGTGTATGTTAATTTGAATGTAGTTGCTATCAAGAAAAAGCTTTTCAAGGATATTTGTGCTTGTGTAGATTGTTTGGTGCAATAATTAAAATGTTGCCACACTCTAAAAATGTATGCTGCATTTTTTTACTAACAAATAATAAACGTTCTGCATATTATTCCAAAGGAACACTGTACATTTATTGACTGGGTATAGAATTCGACTGGTAACACCAGCACACAAAAAAAGTGGTGTGTGCTTTTAACCAGACCAACCTAACGATATGTATTTCGACCCACTGAATCAGCATCAGATGTCCGTTTCAATAGTACACCTCCTAAATTTTTTGCTTATGCAGATGATCTGGCAATTGCCATTGAAGGCAAATACCCATATAACCTTATGGACATTCTGCGCTCTAATATGGCCAACATAGAATCTGGACGGAGAGTAGGGGACTCGGAACTGAAGTAATTCTCTTCACAAGGAAACATGAGGTATCTGCACTCTACCCGACAATTTTGAAGAGGGTGAAGATTCCTTTGAAGGATAAAGTTAAATATCTAGGACTCATATTAGATAGGAAGCTGACGTGCAAGGTAATATAAAGACAGATTTAAGAAGGCCAATATTGGCATTATACACATGCACCAATCGGTCTCATTACTCATCGGCATTAGACTTCTGTATTTAGGCCTATAGTGCTATATGTAATACTGATGGCCATCAACTCAATAGGCTAGTTACTTAAAACTATTAATTGAGGTCCAAGGAACCGCGTTTTTATGCATCTCTGGCGCTTTAAAAAGGCACTAGTAGTAATAACCAATCTATCGGCTGCAAATCTGGCACGAAAATACATGGCCGTCGCTTTGGCCCTCAGACTATAAAGTATGACGCTATCGAAGGATCGGCGGTTTGACCACGCTTCTACACTTCCCACGAGAGTGTCAAACACAGAGCAGGGGGAATTAAATTTTTACACAGATAGATCTAAGCTAGATAATGGAGTTTCCTCTAAGGAATTAGGATCGAAATTATCTGTACGAATTCCGGAATACAGCTGCGTTTATCAGGCAGAAGTTCTAGCCATAAATAAGGTGGATGTGTATTTTAATACACAAGCCGTAATATCTTTTCGGATAGCCAACCGGTCACCAAATCAATGAATACGGTAGTGCTAAGATAAAAGTTGGCACAGGAGCGCCTGACTGCCCTAAAGGAGATTAGCACCATCTTCAAGCTCAACCTCATACATATGAGTCCCGGGCCATAGAGATATTGCAGGAAATTGTAGGGTCGATGAGCTAGCCAGGAACGGTACCAACTTTCCACTGTTTCCTTACAGAAGTAGCATTGGAATACCCATGGGAGCCTGCAAATTAGTGACTATAAATAACACTATCCAAGAGGCCAATCGGTCATGGTTGGATGAGGGCACTTGTAGAAAGAAACAGAAGAACTGATCAGCGTTCCAAGAGAGGACATTTCTAAAGTCATGGGCTGTGGAACCTGTCATTGGCTACTTGACTGGCACTCTTCGAGGTTAGGCTTATTCTTGCGTAGATTTGGAAGAGGAAGAAATAGGCCGAACACTTCTTCTGCAGTTACCCAACTTTAACTAAGAGCAGAGCAGACTTTTTAGGCAAGAAATTTCTTAGCTCTCCTCCGCTTCATAAGAGTTTAAAAGTGGTTTCATGAAAAAGAGTTAAAGAGGTTGGCTAGGCCCAAGGGACTGACTAAGGAGTTTTCTTGGTTCAGTCAGCACCTACGTATGATAAGCATCTCCATAAATCTTAATTACAATTCCTTCCTGAAATACGCTGAAACTGAGGAGTATTTTTGGCAACTAACGAATCCATGCAAAAATAGTCTTATTTTTCTAATTTTTTGGTTTTATTTGCCTAAGAAAAAAATTGAAAAGTTATCAAATTTAACCAACTTAAGTAGATACTTTTCTACAGTTAAAGGATGTGCGAACTGTTCTCAATTTGAACAAAAGTGTGCCCGCTGGTAGTAGCTGTCATTCATAAAAGTATCCTTCTATATGTAGTGAAGTGAAAACAAGTGGGAGCAAATGCCCTCCAGTGCCAACGCCAAAGCAACAACAGCTGACAATTGAAGTGAAAAAAAAAAACAGTAATTTGTCCAAATATTCAAAGCCGAACGAAAGACGGGCATGCGAGTTGCTGTTTGGTGCTGAGCGCTCCGAGCGGACCGAACGATGTAGAAAGCTTTGACCGCGTACACATATTGTTGCCACCAAAACAGCAGGTTAGCCAGCCAACGAACCATGCTGTCAGTTGCGTAGGAATACTCAAATTCAATGGACGCGATGTGTGCAACAATATCGAGCGCAGGACGCAGAGTGTGATGAAACAATGGAATGAGAGAAGAAAAAATAGTGATGGAAAAAATCTAGTCAAATAGGAATAAACAAATATGTAGCTAGCGACAAGCAGCGACGACGCGAAGTGCAAAAATGTATTAAGTAAAATAAAATAAAAATGTGTCCTAATCGCTTAAACTAAGTGGCAATTTAGTCTCTTAAAAAAGAAAAAAAAAACAAAAAAAGTGTTGCAAAAATTATAAGAGTTTGCTTCTCGATCCAATTACGGCATTGCCGGGATTACCCCGTACCCGAGCGCAACCGCGAGTAAAGGTTTTTACAAAAGTGAATACATATATACGTATTTGTGCACTTGTGTGTGTTCAAAGGTTTTGAAAAGTCCGAATATGGAGGACGAGCCTTAACGTTAAGTTTACGTTTTTTGTTTGTTTGTTTTGTAGTAGGTACTGCTTGTACGTATGGCAATCAAGTAATAAAGTGGCATAAAATATTATAATGTTTTTTTCTTTTGTTTCAACAACACCAGCGGCAGCAAATAAGAGAAACGCATACAAATAACAACAACGCGACAAGCACAAAATCAGTGGCAACCAGTGTGAGCCTAAATAAGTAGTAATAAAAATAGCAGACAGCAGGGCGAAAGGCGCAATGGCGCCAGTGCCGCACGCACGCACGCACACATATCTATGTATGAGTAAGTTCCGGCATACACATATTGAGTCGTTTATTTTTCGAATATTATTGCAATTTAATAGTAAATTCTTCTGTTAAGCGTTATATAAGGTTAACATTAATACCACCAATGGCAGTTGAGTCTTAGGTGGATTTTTTATATCAGAATCTCATTTTTGTGAAAAGTGCAGATAGAGGGTATTGAATATAAGCCCTCGATATGTCGTACCTTTTACCGACCATTAATTAAAGAAGGACCCAGAACAAAGTGTCTCCTGTCGACCGAAAGGATGTTAGAGCAACAATAATGGCGGTTAAAACCAACAAAGCACCTGCAGCAACAACAACAACAATATGCCAGCTGAACAGTTCAAAGCCGCCTGTGAAGACTTGGAGAATATATGCTCAAAAAATGATGTCTAAATGTATGGTATCTTCCTCTTCCTATTGCCACTGTAACCGCCTAAGCAATTTTGGCCGAGTTCAACAAAGCACGTCAGTCATTTCTCTTCTGACCCAACTGACGCCAATTGGAACTGCCAATTGAAGCCAAGTCATTCTCTATTTGGTCTTTCCATCGCAGTGGGGGCCGCCCTCTTCCTCTGATTCCAACAGCGTGTTCGGAGTTGAATATTTTCAGAGCTGGATTTGAGCGACATGGACAAGCCAGCTGAGTCGCTGTATTTAAATTCGCAGCGTTATACCCTTGTAACTGTAAAGCTCCATTTTATTGAAGAGTGTTGTTTTCGTATTTCGAGAGATGAATTTAGTCATGAATTGCCTACTCAGTCCAAAATAACACTTGTTGGCAAGAGTAATTCTGCATTGGATTTCGAAACTGACTTTATTATCGGAGATACTTCGTCTTGTCCTCGCTGACCACCACACCTAATCGCTTTGCTTCCTGAATTAACTTGAAAAATTATGGATTATGTCTATGTCATCGGCATACGCCACCAATTGTACACTCTTGTATACATTTTTCCTGAGCAGTTCTTATTATAGTCTCCAGCATCAGATTAAAGAAATCACATGAAAGGAATTCGCCCTGTCTGAAACCCCGTTTGGTATCAAACAGCCCGGAGAGGTTCTTCCCAATTCTGACGGAGCTGGTGGTATTGCTCAACGCCATTTTACACAGCCGTATCAGTTTAGCGGGGATACTAAATTTAGACATCGGGGAAAGAAATCTTCATTTTAAATTTGCATTGAGAATGAAAATAAAGTAAGTGTGCCTGGGCCACACTGGAGAAGTGAAACTTACGTAACATATCTAGTTTATCTCACAACCAATATACATACATATCGTGGTTTAAAGTACAAAGCCGCGTATCGTCATTCTGCAAAACCGCGTAACTAACATTGGCTGCCAAAAATTTGATTTGCTGACACAAGCTCTTGGCTCAATCCTTATCCATTCGTCCTGAAATATACTAGCCAGAAATGCGATTGCTTTATAAAAAAGGAGAACCATTTTCAAATACGAGTGTTTTTGCCCTCTAAAAAATACATTTTACAACTTCACATACGCGGTTTTGCATTTTGCTGATACGCGGTTTTGCATTTTGTTGATACGCGCTTTTGCACTTTAAACGACGATATGTACAAACATACATCGGCTTTTGCTTAAGGTGCTATCTAGATTACATTTATGTTATTCTGTTTTCCTTTATCTTTATTTTTATATTTATACTCTATCGATAACAAAATTGATAGTAACATCCATCAAAATATCGAAAACAAAGCCGACAAAAATATCGAAAACAAAATCGATAAAAATATTGATAACCAAATCGATTAAAATAACGATAAAACAATCGATAAAAATATCGATAAAAACATTAATAACAATATCGATAGCAAATTCGATAAAAAATATCGGTAACAAAATCGATAAAAATATCGATAACAAAGTCACTAAAAAATATAGATAACAAAATCGATAAAAATTTTGATAACAAATTCGGAAAAAATATCGAAAAAAATCGACAACAAAATCAACAAAAATTTCGGAAACAAAATCGATAAAAATATCGATGACGAAACCGATAAAAAAATCGATTATTTTAACGAAAAATTCCGAAAATAACGATATCTAAATCAATAACTAAATCGATAAAAATATTGATAACAGACCCTACAAAAATATCGATTATTATATCGATAAGTTCCGAGAACACCGAAAATCTCTAAAATCCCGAAATAATTCCCATATTGAGTCTGTGTCCCTATCTATATCCTTTTCTCTATAATTACCTTTATTTTAAGCTTTCTTTCTCTATCTTCATCTTTACTTTTATCGGTATCCATATTCTCATCTTTTTCTTTATACTTATCTTTGTTTTTATTTTTATGTTTATCATTTGCTCTGTCTACATATTCCCCTTCACCTTTGCCCTTATATATATAAGTAAAGTGTTAAATTTACCTTGATCTTAATTTTTGACTTTGAGTCAAACTTTCTGAAACGGGCCACTAAAAATTAAGTAGTAGAATTTCAAATATGTTTTGGCAGATATTTAAAGGTCTATATATGAAAATTAATGTCTTAAAATATTTTTTGAAAATTAAAATTTTTCACCAATTTATTCATAAATGAATTTTTGAACTTCTTTTCATCAATTTTATATATTAATTACTATATTTCCGTAAATATTCAATAAAAGTAACCAAATTTTAGTGGTGTATTCAAAAAAAGTAGCAGAATCGAAAAAATATAGCAATTAAGATATAAAATTGATGGAAAGAAAGTCAAAAATTCATTTATGAATAAATTTTTGAAAAATTTAAATTTTCAAAAAATATTTTAAGACATTAATTTTGACATATAGACCTTTGAATACCCGCCAAAACAAATTTGAAATTCTACTACTTAATTTTTAGTGGCCCGTTACAGAAAGTTTTACTCTTTATCTTTGCGCATCTTTGTTTTTGTTTTTATTTTTACCTTTGCCTTTATCCGTTTCTTTATCTATGAACGTACATACTCAGATTTACTTTCATTCTTGTGTTGGTCTTTTTCTAAGTGAAATTCTTTATTCTTTTATTTGCATGTTTTTGTTAGATTAATGCCATGTGCATACACTCAAGAAGTCAAGAAGTACTTGTTTCAGCCCCTACCATTTTCGTGTGCAATTTCCGTTGAATTTGCCAATTTACTGCCAACCAACCAACCGCGGCTAAAGAAGTTTCACTTCAAAAAAATCCAACTTTACCATGGAAAATGTTACTCATACGCCATGTACAAGTAAGTATGTCCATCAATGCAACGTTCGACAGAGAACTGGCCACAGCGCAATCATATAACAGAAATATTCAAGAAAATACGTCGGAAATCCTTCCAGAAACACGGTTTGTTTCTTTTATCATAATGCAAGCTGTGGCCAACCCTACAGATGGAACTGGAAAAACACCTTTCTTCCAGCGAAAATTCGTTCAAATGGAAATATTGCGTTAGCTCTTGCTTCTTCAGGTATTGCCGCCACGTTGATGGAAGGAGGGAAAAAAGCGCATTGAGCTCTTAAATCATCACTAAACATGAGTTTAAAAGAGAACCCAGTGTGTAACATTATTCAGGTGTGTGAAATTGTTATATGGAATGAGGTTGAAAGCTGGCGAAATAATTAAGTTACTATCAGGTGACTCAACACAAACGCTCCAAGTTAAGTTTCGCTCAAAATACCGCTGATGAGTTACATGCCTGTTTGCAATAATCAACACTTTGTAGCACAAATATAAGCTTTCAGTTTGAACCCGATCCAACAGCTGACATATTTTCAAGACAATTCCTAAAGTTTGGCTACGATTTTACATACATATACTTTCATAGTCTTCATATAGTTTTTGTATACAGCATTTTACATTCATGAAAAGAGAACCATATTCTAATATCAGCCGATTTCTTGCTGGGAACGTATATATGCAAACAAGTGTTGGAAGAAATAAAATTTTTGCGCGTATGACACCTGCTCTGCATGCATAAATAACCGAAATATATTGAATTTCAAGCATACCAACATGACTTTGATCTCATAAAATAATAAATTGATCGTTTTTTTCGTAAAGGAAGAATTAATTTCTTTTCCATCTTTTTGCGGCAAATTGAATCAACGAGGCCATTTGAAGTGAGCGCTTAACTTCACTGAACATAAAAAAAAATATATGTGTGTATGTATGTACATATGTATAGATTGACTAAAGTGCAATGACCTAGCTGCAACAACAGCTATTTGAGCTCAAAAATGCCGCGCGTTTCAGAGCGCTTTAGGGGCTCCAACCATTTGCGTGGGCTGGAGTATTCAATTAACAGAATTCTGGCAAACGTTGCACAGCAAGTGTTGCATTTTATAAAGCCATTTCAAATAAGTTGATTAAAAGCCAACAGCACACGAGTTCATGCAATATTATTTTAGTCGAAACGTACATATGTATATTTATGGATATGTGTCATACTTATGTACATACATATATACATATCTAAGTAATATGTAAGGATCGTAATAATACATGTCAGCTTATGTAAGAACAAATATGTATATCCGTGTGCACTCCAACGCTATTGTTACGGTGACCATCCGTCCTGGTAATTTATTTTTTATTTTTTTTTTTTATACGGTTTTCTGGTTTTTCGACGCCGTTAAGGCTCATTAAAATGGCAAGCATATGGACGAGTTTTAAGTGATTTTGCTGTATGATCGTAATTTTCTCCACAAACAGTTATTATTTTCTTAGCTGAATGCCTGTTATTCGAATCGAGGAATACATACACTGACCAAAAGAGAAATGAGGACTTGATATTTTAGTAGATTTTGGCTATTTGCCCTTAGTTTATTTAATTATTATTTATATATTTATTCTATGAAAGCAAGGCTTTTTTTCTAACAAAACGCATATAATACCAAATTTCCAACTTTTTACAAAAACTTTAAAAACCAATTCTGCAATATTTCACCATAATTTCAAACTGTTTTATTAGAATCTTTAGAAAAAATTTGGGTTTGCAGTTTTGTAACTCATTAAAAT